TCAGCTCATGCTGCCCCTGAAAGCACCTTCCCAAAAGGGTCAAGCCCCGGGATTCATCTTTCCTAAGCCACGTCCAGCCGCCTGGATTTCACCCTGGTGAATTGGTGGCCGGACCCCCCTGGGTATAACGAGCCCGGATAAAGCAATCTATTCGTACTTCATGAAGATGACAGTTGAGCTCATGTAAGCAAAAAGCATCCGTAGAACATTCCTGGGGTAGCGAGTCACGCTGTGGTAAGGCCATCCTCGTGAAGCTCTTCACTAACCTCTTTCTGCGGGTTGCTCCCGGCCTTCAAGAAGCAGATGCCTGGTGCTCAGCACAAGGTGACTCTTGCAGAAAGCAGGGTCGACGGCTAAGGATTAGGTGATTGCTTTCAGTGCAGGGGAAACTGGTGACCAGCTGAATGGTGGGCCTAACTATTCGCTGGAGCAGAACAGCATCCAGGTTATCAGCATAGGAAGGCACAAAATAGAACGAGATTGCAGTATCATTAGTGCAAGCGCATGTAACTGTTGCTGTTGCTGCCGCCGATGTCGATGGCGACGAGGACTATTCTTGCTTTACTTGCGGCTCATAGCTGGCTTTGGGCTGCCAGGTTCTTGTCTTCGGCTTGCAGCTTGCGCAGGCCTGGGCTTTGCAGAGATATACCTGCAAAGATCGAAAGGAAGGTCTAGATCAAGGATTTATGGTTAGGCCTTGCCTAAAACTTCTGGATCGATAGAAATACATGTGGAACTCGATGTCGCGCCCTGTTTCTAAAGGGCCCCTTTCCAACCAAAAACTGGGGCGAGAACGAGAACAACACATCACGTCGTGTTATTCCACCGTTCTGGGGATTGATTTGATTTTCGATGGGAATGGTCCCAACGCCCAATTACGCTGAAACTCTTTGAGCGGCCACCGCAACATAACTGCGGGATCTGCAGGGAGATGGCAAAACTACACCGGAGTCGTGCCAGAACAGGAAGATGTATCGCCGGGGGTTCTTCTAAAGATAGAGGGAATATTCTTCAGCCGTGCGCTCATAATCCACTGATACATTGGGTTGGAGGATTGGGTCCCTTCCAGAAATTCACGCTAATCATGGTAGGAACTTTGGGAACCGTTTTTTGCAGTGGGCATTTAACTTCCATGCGATGAGAACCCCTACCAGTATCTTTGGATGCCTGGGTTTAGATCCCCGGCCCCTCATAATGCCCGCAGCATGGAATCCTTCTGAACCTACACCTTATACCCAGCAAGCTCAATTTTGACAATGCCGCGCTTTGCCTTGTTTCAGCCAGGTTAGGGCAGACAGCCTCGGCGCCTCTGCCTTCCCAAAACCTGAGCTGGACCAGCTCCTGAAAGGCTCGGGGCAAGCGATTCCGCGAATGAGCACTGTCTATAGTACTGCACGTATTTCGTTCCAGTTCGGCTACTTCTGGAGAGTTCTTGCACTCTCATTGTTTCCGCGTGGATGGAGGTGCGGCCGTGGATGTGCTGAAGTCAGCTTCTGCACCCTTGGCCGAGCAGTGCCGAGAGGCGCTAAGAGGGTTTAAGGTTTTGAGGCTTAAGGTCTAGGGTCTGCGGATTTCGGTTGTGGATTTGGGGTTTCAGCTTTAGGTGGTCGTGGCAGTAACAGGAATACTCTCTGACAGATGTGCCAAGTCTTCATAAACAGATCAAAAGCAATCATGGTATGCCGAAAGGGAGCCATCCTTCGTATGGTAATCGTTGTCATCATCATGACAATCTACATCATACCTGGCGGTGCAAGTTGAGGGGCCCGGGATCCCCTCCAGGCTCGTGCTGCCTTGATGAACTGGCACACCTCCTCTCCACATTCGCGTCCATCCTAAAGGTCTTGCATGCCTCACACCACGATATAATCTGCAAGAAATACTTCAGAACACAAGTCCCCATCCCAAAGAATCAAAGCCAATCTAAATCAATTCTCTAAACCTTGACGGAAACTCCAAAGCCAGGTGCTGAAGCCCAAGCTGAACAACCAGCAACTCAAGGGCTTGCAGGCCTGGGTTTCTGGGGTTGGTGATTACGGTTTTAAAGGAATGCATGGGTACTGTAGAGTGAGGGTGATGTTTGCGATGGGGCTTGGGGTCTGGTCCATGCGGTTTGGCTTTGGTGTCTGAGATTTCGGGGAATCGCCCTGCTCGCGGGATGGCCTCATGTTCATAGGCGGCAGCATGCATCACAGGTTTTAGACATGTCTTCCACCACCTACCAGTAGGTTTCTTGCGCATCTGTTCCCTTCACTATCGCTCGCTTCCGCTCTTTGATGCCAGGATCTCCATCTGCTGCCCTGCTTCAGCGGCCTGGTGGGGAACATCCAGGCCCATACTTGCTGAAGGGTGCATTGCGGCAGTATCTGCCAGTGCAGTAAGTTTAAGTGCAGTACATGGCACAAAATCAACTGGGGTGTTTGAACTTTTCTTCGGTTGCGGAGGTTGCGGAACACACCCGCCTCACCCCCCCGTTACCGCATAATAGCGGTTGCCATGATGGAAACGCTGACGACTGATACGATGATACGTTTCCTGCTGAGCTGTGGTCTTTTGCGGAGGCTAAGGAGGCAGAGTGGTTGCGGTTCCTCGAGCACCTGGAACCCGAGACTGCCATGCCCATGGGTTGGGAGAAGTTCGGGGCCCAGTACACCTGCACCGGATCTCAAGGTCAAGAGGGTACAAGGCATCGATTCACTCTCGGTCTGATGAGGTCCGTGGAGGAGGACTCCGAGACCCGCCAACTGCTGCACAAGACCCTGATCATCAAGGCCTGGAAGCCTCCAACAGACTAAGAGTGCTTGGACACTTTTCTGGTTACAAGAAGAAGGTTAGTAATCATGATGAGCAGCAAAGATGAGTCAGTGAAGAAGACGTACTAGCTTGTTGACGACAACAGCTTCGAATGGTGCTAGCACAGCAAGAACGACAAAAAGCTACCAGTACAGGAATAATCACAATTGGCAAGGTGGCGGGTCAAGAAGACATCAGAAGACTCCGCCTGCACGTCCCTAATCTGTCAGTGCCGCAGCATGTTGCTGAGACTCACGTAGGCGCTGCGTCCGGATCGGCTGGTCTTCGTGTGCCCGGAAGCCCTGTGCAGGGGTTGCGGTTCCGCATCCGACGCACGGAAGGGCTGAATGGGATGTTGCCACTCCAATCTTTAAACGTAAAGTCAAGCTTTTCCAAGAAATCCTTGCGCGCCGGTCTTCAAGTGGCCTGAGTTCAGATTCTACCGACATTTCGACATTGGCTGAGGCGCGCAGTTGGTGGAAGCTGTACTCGGGAAAGGCTTCCTGGACCTGCCGGCCTTCAATCTGGCAGAGATCATTGCCAAGGACCACTCCTCATGCTGCGACTTCCGCCAGGAGTAGAGGCCAAACCTCGAGATCTGAAGCTGAAGTCTTTGGATTGGTTTGCACCTCAAGCGTTGTGTAGCGTAGTTGCCATAGAAGCGATTTCAAGCTCTCTTCCGCTCATGTACCGTGATCCACGAAACTTTGCATGATGTGAAGATCCAGGCTACACATGTTGCATTCCGGCCTTTGCAAGGACAGCAAAGCGTCCTCACCCATCATGATGGCACGTGGCCTCAGCTCCTCAAGCCCTCAGACACGGCTTTCTTGCCATGTCAACCTGTGATACCTGTAGCGAGCGTCTCCACAGTAGTGTGGTCATGAAAGAATTTGAGATCGCAATCCTCGGCACATTCCTGGTACTGGTATGGCCAGCCACCGAAATCGCCCAAACGGGTCGGAAGCAACCATGCGCAGCTCGCAGTCGACATGATACACAAATTGCAATTGCAAGGTCTCGGTGCCAGGATTTGATCCCAGCGGCAAGGCGTCGGTTGGAGTGATGAATGATTCGTGATGGCAGCAGAGCGGCACTGACCAGTACTCACACACTTCTGTTCCGGTTGACAAGCATGAGTTGCGTAAGACGTCAAGCTGTCGTCTGAAAACGGAGCCATTTACATGGATTTTGCATGCTACATCCTTGAACCTGCGAGGTGACGGAACTGGCACAGGCACAGAAGAAGTGCCCTGGCATTCAAAAGATATGTTGGGAGGTGCACCGAAAATGAGGTCTCCACAGGACATGCCGGGCAAATACGCCAGCACTTGTGACATGTGCCTCCGCTCTCTGTGCCCAGGTCCTTGCAATCTGCCGCCATGGGGTCGGAAGAAGGGTTCAACGTGGCAGACAAGGCCCCTGCTCATGTGATTTGTTTGAGACAGTGCAGTAGTAAGATTCGCATGATGGATGGCACTAATGTTGTGCGATCTGTGCACGGGCGCTGTGTATTCTTGCAATGCAGTCAGCATGCCGTTTCATGGAACATTATTGCCCAACTTCAACATCGTTTTTGTTTCTGTTTCCTGGCGATGCATCGCACGTGCCAATCGCATCATGACTACTGCTGCTTATCAGGCGATCAAGGCAGCATCAAATGCCGGAAGCTGGGTGCTTCTGAAGCAGATCGCTCAGCCATTTTGGGTCTTGCAGCTGGCTGTTTCAGAGTATTGTCATAGCGGCAGCCGTAATCCAGACGTCATGAGATGCTCCGGCATCCCCTGCTCAGCATCATTGTTATGACGGCTACTACTGTAGATGATGGACAAGGATGATGAGGATTCCAAGTTCGCAGTAGTGTTATCATGTGAATGCCTAGAGTCACAAGCATGACTGTAAGGGCTCTCGCCGTCATTGTACCCCGCAACCACTCCTCGCAGAATTCTTGCATCTGCTGGCGTGTTCTGAGGAATGTCCACTTGGCGATCAAGTGGCTCTCAGAGCTGGTTGGCTGCTCAGACCTGATCGACAACTAGAGATCAGGGTTCGGACGTTTAGGGGACATTTCTTCCCGTGAATTTTGCTTGTCATCATGTGTTCTAGGTTTTTCTGTTCTTTGCGCTTTTTTGCTCCATGTACATGGTTGCAAGGGACAGCAGGTACATGTAGGGTTTCAGCCCACACAGCCCTTCATCCTGAACCCCTTCCGCTGAAAGCTATCTTGACCTGTGCCGTTTAGGAGAAGAAGCTCTATGGCATGAACCCGCAGCAGAACTTCCGCCTCTTCTTGACCATGGAGTTCAACCCTAGGAGCTGGGGCACCGGGGGTTTAGGGTTTTCAGGACACTCGGTTTAGGAAGTAAGTAAGGGTTTGTGTCACGTGCAGTTTTGAGTTTAGTCTGGCGGGTGTGAGGGTCAGGAATTAAGGCTCCTGATGGGCAAGGTCTCCAGAAGACTGTTGCTTGCTCTTGTGCAGCACTTGTAGAAGCATTTATACTGGCAAGCGGATAGACCATAGCTTCCAAGGTCTTCGGGTTTGAAGCTTAGTCTGCAGACCCTTGTGCCAGGTTTCTTTTTGCGGCGTGGTCCCTGATTCGAACGCTCACCTTCCTGCCGTAGGTAGAGCTGGTGACCCCAATACTTATACCAAACCTGTATCCCCATTTGGCTTGAAGTCCTCCTTGGATCTGATCGGTAGAGTTAGCGTCCGCAAGGCCCGAAAAATGAGCAGGATCCCGGCCAACCTCATCCGTCTCTCGCGCGTCTACGTGTTTGAGCCTCCCTCTGGGGCCCGACCCCTACATGGGCATTTCCAGAAATTAGGGCTTTACTTGGAGAGTTCCTATAAATTGAAATATATTTCAGGGTCCCAAATTTCTAGAAACCTCTAGACAGCAAAAATGGCAGCTGCTGGGGTCGGGGTGGGGTTCAGGGTTGCAATCCTACAGACGGGGAGTGTTGCGGGTCTCTGGAGAAGGAGTGAGCAAGGTTTGTGTTTGCATTCCTGGTCACCGCGTTGTTTGGAAACTCACGTACGGAGACAAGCATCGTTCAAGCCGTATTTGTGTTTGAGCATACGTACGTATTGTATCTAGTAGAGAATAGCAGATGACTGGCGAGGACCAGATCAGTTAATGTAGGTAAAGTCATATGCAAATACTACAACCAATTTAGGCATCAATCACGAGTTTATGTCCTGTTTCCTTCCTCATTCCCAGTATCAAAAAAAGGAGAGAGGGCGCATCTCGATTCTGCCAAACAGTTAGATCCTGCTTCAGGTTTCGTCTCAGACCCTCTCCCTCAAGTGGTTTTCTCGTTGCTTTGCAGTCCTGCCACGTGCCCTGCGGTGGAAAGTGGATTTCTAAGTCCGTAAGGTGCGAGCCTCGCTTCAGCGCTCCTTCACACAGGTGGGGAAAGACAGGTAGTTCTTTTTACTCATCTTCACATTAGCTTTTTAGTGCTAGTATCGATGTGTGTCTGTGTTTGTTTTTTCCTTTTTTTTGGTCGCGATGCAAGTGGTTGTGGTCGTGTTTGTAGTGGAAGAAATGGAGGTCGTAGGACGAAGGCCAGGTTGAATAGGCGGGGCTTCAAGGGGCTGCTGCTGGTCTATTCTTTGCGGTTTCAGGGTCAAAAAGATGAGGGTTGCGGATGTTTGGAGAAAATGGATGAAACAGGACAGGATCCTTATAGGCTTCTGCAGAACTAGGATTGCTTCTCTGTACTCTGCAATCAGTCTAGCATGTCTACAGCCTAGAACCGTGGAAGGGAAAAGTGAGCACACAGAGATTATCCAGTTTTGCGCTGAAGACAATGACCAACGCTACTTCCCGTAGACTATCAGAAATATTTTCTCTCAGCCCCAGCCCCAGACCTCAAACTGTGCTTTGTGCAGGTGCTGCCACCGGAGAAGACCGACCGGGGGCCTGTCGAGCGCTGTAGGCGGGGGCCAGTTTGGCCTGTAGCTGATCCAGGACGAGCAAGATTGACGATGCGCGAGAGAGGTAATTGCGTAGCCTCGGGAGTAGTGGCGCCGGCAGCAGTGCTTTCAACAAGCATGGGGCATCGCAATGACAGGAACAGTAGGCATGGTGGTGACCATCAAGTTCTTGAAAGGGATGTGAAATTCACAAGCTGCAGGCTCCATTTCCTCCTGGCCTTCCTGCATGCGGTTGTGCTGGAGCGGCTGCGGTTCTTCCCTGTAGGTGCCCGGCCATCATCAGTAGCAAGCTGTCATCACTACTGCTGCTACAACGTCTGAGCTCATCCTGGAATTCAATCTTTGCATTTCCTAATGCACTAAACCCATAGCCACTGCATTAGCCCTAAGATCTGAAGCGAAGCAATCAACCAAGACGTTTTCGCATTTGCCAGACGGCCAGGTTGGAGCAAGAAGTATGAATTCAGCGATGCGGATCAGACTTGCGGCCGGAGCCCCTGAATCAAATGATAGTAGCAATGGGATTCACAGTAGCAGTTGCGAAAATAGTCAGACAGGTCGTTTTGATATTACAAGCAGGCATTAATTGACATAACTAGGAGGATTGGGATTCGTAGCACGCTCTGCAAATTGTTTGGCCCAGGCCGGGACATCATCGATGCCTGGGTTGACCGGGCCTTACGACATGAGTAAACTCGTGGCATTCTGAAAGCGGCAAGTGCTGCTAGGTCCTACTTCCCCCGCTAATTCCCACTCCTGCCTACTCAGCAGCTGGGTCATACCTTGCTGAGACAAGCACACTTTGCCTTGAGCACTTTTGAGGACACCGTGTCCAACCAGGGGCAGTTGTCCAACATCAGCCCGGACCGTTTGCTAAGCTGGTGTTGGTCAGTGTTCGCAGGTTGAGGATTGAGGTTCAGAAATTGCGGTCTCAGGTTTGGGGATCGGGTTCTAGAGGTCTTCTTGTTGAAATATCACCGCTTCTACTGTTCTACTGCTTCTATTGCTGCTGCTGCTGCTACCTGCCGCGCTCCTTACAACGAGTGGCTTTGCATTTGCACCAGGACAAGATCCCGTGGGATGCGATTCGATCGATTCTGAGCCACTGGGCATGTCAGACTTAGTTGAAGAATGTTGACTATTCATGCGAATTCCGTGTTGGTATTCTAGCTCATGCTGGTGGGTATGAATGTGTCCAGGTGAGTCCATCTACGGGGGCCGGGTGGATAACGAGTTCGATCATGCGGTGCTGAAGGCTGGGAGCCTGGGAGAGCCAAGCTTCGAAGCAGTGCAAAGCATGGATTCGAGCAATACTCATTGCGGTGAATACTCATTTTTCTGAAGGTTTGTGATTCCCCCCTAATCGATAACCTGATAACTTCAAAAGAGGTGTGCACCACGACAACAATTTTGAAGAGATAGGTCGGTTTTTTTTGGCAGCGGTGATGATTCTGAGGCCTTCATCCACCACCTCTTTAGAGCGGAGTCGGTCCCTGAGATGAGTAGACGGCAACTAGAACAGTAATACAGTAATATAATACGCAATATAGTAGTATAGGAAGATGGCAAAAAGTGATATAGTAATATAGTAATATAGTAATCAAGTATCTGTGGGAAGGGCCTTGGGTTCCAAGGTCCTTTGATGCAGACTTCTCTTTGAACATGGAGTCTGCAAAGGCACTGAAGTGGGAATCTTTGGAAAGCACGGGTCACTGCGCAGGGCCTGCCTCCAGTCTGTGTAGACCCCTTTGATTGCACCACAAACTACCTGCCTGGGTTGTCCAGTGCTGTTAGCATCACAAGACCTAGAAACTACAAGCATAGGATTTGTTAGCGCTACATGCCTACTGGCATTTTGAAGATGATTTCGTGATGATGTTTGCCTGTGGGTCGCTCGAAGCTGTTTCAAAGAAGCCCCTGCCTCACTGCGGCAGGACCAATGTTTGCGGTCGCCAGATGGCCGCAAGCGGGAGCAATTCCTAGAATGGTCGGGCACCTAGGCTTGAGGGCTTAGGATTATGATTGGCTGTTGTCGTTGCTCTTTCCCACATGTTGTACTGCTGTCATCCTTCTCCTTCCCCAAACTTGCTATGGTTACTAGTTACTAGTACCGCTGCATGAAGTGGTTGCTGGGTGCATTCTTGTGTGGTCAGGATCGACGGCTTGCCGGCAAAGGGCAGCCCCACCTGGGTCGGTTGCCGGCCGAGTCGGTTCAGACGTTTATGCAAGGATTAATTACGGTTCAGGGCATCGTGTTTGCCAGAAGCCGCATTCATGTCAAGCTACATGGTACTGCTTGCGAGTGTGAACAGATTAATGAAGAGAGGGACTGGCAGAGTGCTCGATTTGCCGGGTTTTCACCTAAGGAAAACAACTTCTCGGCCACTTCAGATATCAGATGATATCAGTATCTAACACTCAGTCTTGGAGCTCAGCGGCTCAGCGCGGCGCAGCGCGAGCTGACCAGCTCCCAAAACAAATCCAAGGATGTGTTACAGATTTCAGAGGGATGTGCCTGCTGTTTTGAGGCCTTTTTACAGGGCTTGTCCCTGAGATCTGCCCCAAGGCTTACCTGTGCATGCAGAGCAGATGCTCCGAATCAACAGAGCAGGAAGCCGAGAGGGCTCTGGGTTCTGGCGGCTGTTCTGTCTCGGGTGGCAGGCGTCGCAGAGGCCTACAAAGGCACGTCTCCTTGGGTTTGCGGCCCTAAAATTTCGGATTTCGGGCTTAGGTCCACTTGCATGGCCAATATCCATCCTTTTGTCCTTCAAGCTAGTCACTGGCAACTGTGAGACATTTCAGATCAATGTGCACTGCTGGAGCAGAACCGTCCTTGCACCACCACTCAGGTGCCTGCTTCAGTTAACTAGAGTTCAGACAATGGTCCTTACAGAAATGTTGGTGCTCACAGGAGATATCAAGAAAACCTGAAAGCCACTCAAGATCCCAAAGTTGAGCACATGCACTGGCTTTCTGATCTCCGTGCAATTCCGCACCGCTTCTGCCAAGGCCAACCATACCCTGGCTCGTTGGCTCTTGCTGCAGGGAAACACTGGGACGCTGAAAGGCTCGATCATCCGTGACAATCAAAGCAGCAAACATGTAAGAGTAATATCAGCAGTCGTCGGGGTGGTCGTATGTCAGGGTAGGTACAAAATATTTCAGCTAGCCCCCCTCCCCCACCGCAGCTTTGTGCTCCTGCAAGGCGAGAAGAAGACCGAGGGCCAGAAGAGGAGAGTAGGAAGCCTGGTGGGTTTGCTGTTTCAGCGCTTGGGGTATTCAGGCTTTGGAGCTTCGAGGTTAGGATTTGGAATTGGGGTTCTGGGTTGAGGGGTTCTATGGGTTTGAGACTTAGGATCTGGAGTTTAGGGGCTTGACTGTAACCCCAAATTCGGACCTTCCTTGTCTTCTGTTGAAACTAAACATGTACTCTGCTCTACTGTGGCTCAAGAAAAATTGCGTTTGCACGTTGTTGTTGTGTTTTGGGGTTCGCTACTGCATAACC